GAAGACGCTGGAATCCTTTGTTTTAAACTGTCAATCAGTCAGTTGACCATCTGTTTTCCTGGTCGCTGAAGCAGATGCCTCAGGCAATTTCTCCAACATTTCCGACCCTGTGCTGCGCTTGAGCTTCGGCAGTCTTTCGAGATATTTTCCCCATGCTTTTCCTGGCCATTCCGGGGTGGGGGATCTTCCTCTGGTCGGTTGCCGACATATTTACAATGGCGAAAATTTCCTTTCCGCGACCTTCCACCGCACGCTTTGTTTAATTTCCAACATATCGCTCAAGCAGAAAGCAACAATACAATGTGGTCGTTAAATTAAAAATTATTTGGCCAAAAATGAAAATCAGCTCTAAGAAATGAGATATCTACCGGTTGTCTTACGATTTTTCGCTTTTCTTAATGGTGTTGCTGTGACGCTTATGAAAAATTGCTCAATTATTCAATTAAATTATTTTGAACTTTTGTTACTAATTGGCCTAATTCTCATATAGTTACAGATACTGCTTTCAGTATGAATGAAATATAAGTTTTTGGCTACAGCAAACTGTTTTCGAGGCCTTGTCTTCTTAGAGAAGACTTCTCTCTGCTGTACAGATCTGATGCTTGTTTGATTATCTTGATTCTTATTTTTCAATTTTTACCTGACTTGATGTATCATGGATAATGAATCCCCCACATGCTAAGCTTAGTTTAATGGATAGCGATCTCCATTGTAATAGAGTTGCAGCGAAAAAATAAAAAGAGCAGTAAAATAAATAACAGTAAAGTTTAAGTTTTGAACAAAGGATCGAATAGAATAAACTCATAAGACGAATTATAAAAGCCAATATTTTAGGTGTTTCAAAATTGGCACCAATCGATCATTCACAAACACACTGTATACCAATTAGGTATATTGTAAGTCAGAATACTGTATTTAACTCATAAAAATAGGAGACATCTTAAAACGTAAAGCATTTATCAGGTCGTCCAAATTAGATCCGTTTACCACGATACTGAATGCTGCTTTGGCCAAATCGAAGAGGATTGAGCCGTTTGCTTGAGTCAGAAGCAAGCCAAAATCTAATCATCGTTTTCATACATCACCACATATCCAACCGGCTCTCTAATTTTGTCTTGATGGCTAGCAAAGTGGCAGCTTTGTGCTCACAAACAGAGGTTACAAGTGTGAGGAAAGTCGGCAAAGCTGTCTTGTAGGTGAGTAACTTTTCTGGCTATTTCGGCTGCAATTTCACTGCGAGTTTCCTGCTTTACTGTCGATTAAGGTCTAAAGGCACGAGATTTTCGGGTGACTACCTTTACACCTGTACCGCGCAGACACCCTCACTTAATCAGGAACTGTTGTTCTAAATGCATGAAAGGATAGGTAGCTCATTTCTTGTGCAGGATAGCTTCATTAATCAGCCATTACTAGATTTTTGACAAGACTTTATAGCTCTCATAATGATTTGTGATTATTCCACTTTGCCTTTAGAAGGTTCTTCTGCAAAATCTCCTACTTTGCTCTTTTCTCGCACTTTACCAAGCAAGGCACAGCTAAAATGGCGGATAGCATTCTGAGACTTATCGATACCAACTTAATAATTGTTACATAAGCAATTTATGTAGAAGTCAGAAAAATGATATTAAGATTTAATTACGACGCACTTCATTAGACAAAACCTATGACATCATTGGGTAAAAAAATTTCAAGGCTAATGTAAAAGTAATGTTGAACAGATTTTCAGTTTCAGTAGCGGTTATGAACTTTTTTCCTCGAGAAACTTTACTAACAGCTGTATGGGCCCCGCTTTTGCGGAATTGGCGCAATGAGGAATTGTCATTGCGCAGCACATTCTAATTTGCTACTATATGACTGGGTTCATTTACTGGAGGATCTGTACTATTCTTTTCCGTCTCTAAAACAGGAACAGCAGTCGTGATGAATGGAGGTCTTTTAGTCAATGGATGTTTTATACGGGTTTTTACTTTAATGATAGCTTAGTGTTTCATACCTCCTTGCTGATACAAAGACAAATGCTCTTGTAGGCGAGGACAAATTATACTGGTGCCAAGAAGAGAATGGGATCACTCTGTACATGATTCTGCCATTAAAATTTTACTCTGTCGATGTCAGTGGTAATATGCTGTTCAACTGTCATTCTTGGTGTTTAGTGTCTCTGCGCCGTATGGACGTACTGACCTTGTCTCGGTAAGGTATAAAATACTTTTGTGGAGAAGGATATTTTTTGTCAAACTAAATGGCCGACAGATTAACGAGAGCACCGCAAGTAGGGTTTCCGTCATCTTAATCTGCTGTTAATGTCTTTCAAAATGATGGAATTAATGGAGCGGATATACTAATATTCATTTCTTGCTGCTCTTCAGGCGAATCTTCCAGCGGTTGCTCAGTATTAAGGAGTTCCTCAGAGTACTCTCTCCATCGCTGAAGAATGTCCTCATCCTTGGTAAAACGGTCTCTGACTTATCCTTCAAGGCTCGTAGACCGCTCTTCTTTTCACCTCGGAGCCGGTGAATGGCCTGTCAGAATGTCTTGTTTGCCTTCTGGAAATTCGACTTCAACACCTCACTGAACTTCTCCAAGAATCTAGCCTTGGCCTTCACAACTGCTTTCGCTCTCGCCTTGCGTGTTTCAATTTACTGCACGGGAGTAGAAGGCTCCTTGTTTCGAAGCCATTTCTTGCGTGCTGCCTTCGTCTCTTTAACTGCCAGTTATGCCTCTCGTGTCCACTGGGAAATTCTTTACTCATATCCAGGCAGCAGGCCAACCCGCTTGAATCCACAGCATTCGGAGGCAGCCTCAAGTATGTCGCTCTTAAAGAACTGCCACTTGGTTACCGCATCAGCAGTCATCAGTGATATCTAGTCACACTGTTGTGGAAAGTCGTTCGCGAGTTTTGCCATCGTATCGGCAGAAGATCATGTTTTCTATTTGACTTTCTAGTTGCTTCTA